AAATGCAAGTCTGCCAAACATTTAAGGGTGTCAATTAGAACACTGGCCTATATACTCCATTACAAGTTCGAGATTCAATTTAGGAAGAATTTAGTTTAGACTTTGTTTTGTGACTTCCAAAAACCAAAAGAGAACTTGATTCTATTATGGTGGTGGTTGATAGGTTTTAAAAAATGACTCGCTTTATCGCCTGCAAGAAAATATTTGATGCAATAAATGTCGCAAATCTTTTCTTTAAGGAAATAGTTCGTCTACATGGCATTCTAAGAAGCATCACTTCGGATTGTGATGTCCAATTTTTTAATTGTTTCTGGCGTGAATTGTGGAAGCAACTACAAACTGAACTTAAATTTAGTTCAGCCTATCATCCACAATATGATGGACAAATTGAAGTGGTAACCACTCGTTAGGTAATATAATTTAAAGTCTTGCAGGTGAACATCCAAAGTAATGGGATGATGTCTTGGGTTAGGTGGAATATAATTTTAATTCTATGACAAATAAAACTACAGGAAAGACACCTTTCAGTATTGTGTATTCTAAAGAACCAAATCATATAGTTGATGTAGCTGTAATTCTTAAAATGAAAAGTTCTCAAGAGATGAAAATGGCGAGTGACTGATGAAATGTTATGCAATGTGAAACATAAATTATCAAGATCATTGAGAAGTACAAGCAACAAGCCGATGAACATCAAAGAAGAAAGGTTTTTAATGTTGGGGATCTTGTGATGATTCAACTCCGTAAGGAACGATGCCCTAAAACCATGAAAATTTGGGTCATTTCCTAGTGAAATAAAGTTTAATAATGATAATGAGTATGTGGTGACACTTCCTTGTGATTTGAATATCTTTTCCACTTTCAATGTAGCTGATCTATATGAGTATCATCCACCGGATGATAGATGCTTGCAAGTTACCGAACTTTGGTCGAGTTCTTCTGAACCAAAGGGGAACTAATGCAATCAAATACTCTTATAAGCAACAGTTGCTATATCTAATACTTCCTTGCCAGTATTAATTTTAAACCTTTATTCGTATTATATGTATATACGGTAGTGCTGATTGTAGAGGCTCCTATATATATATATATACTTTCATATATACATATATATGTGTGTATATATATATGATGTAATCATTTTGACAGGCACCTTTTTGCTTCATAATGATTATGAAAGTATAGCTTTTTTTTCTCTATTGTCTGTTTACTCGTTTTTCTGTTTTGCGACAGTGCAAATGTGTGTACGTGCGTGTTTATATAGGACTTATTACAATTAAAACCTATATGAAACTTTAGAGACATATCAAAGAACAAGACATAGTGGGTAGTGGTTTTGGTAGATAATAAAACCATCCACAACTTCATCTTTACTCAAGAAGTGAAATAATTGGGGCTTGAGAAGGTTGACACGAGCAATTTTGTAGTCGTTATATGGATGAGATGGGTGGAGAAGAACATGAGGGTTTGTAAATGAGTGATTGTAATACTACAAGGTATTTAGGTGATGGAGAATTTTCTTTCCTTGAATTTAGGGAATATTGACGTAATATTGGGTATGGAATGGTTGTAGTCCTTAGGGGAGACTAAGATGAATTGAAAACTCCTAGCAATGGAGTTTTAGACGGGAGACAAGATGGTGTGATTTCACAGTGACCTTAGTTCTTCAAGACCATAAGGACACTCAAAACTATTATTAGGATAATACATGACACAGGGTTGGGATACTTGATTGAGCTGCATTGCATGAAAAAGACACATGATACGAAATTGACAGAGAGTCTTGCACCAATCTAATAGTTCCTATAATAATTTGTAGAAGTTTTTCAGTTGCCACGTGAATTGCAGTATTGAAGGGAACACGAGCATGTAATAACCTTGGGATCGAGGTTTTCTCCCATCAATGTACACTCATATCTCTACCCCAGGTTCATAAGGAAGAGATCAAGATATTGACACAAGAATTATTGGAGTTCGAAAGCATACAACTTAGTGTGAGCCCTTCTCTAACCTAGTCTAGTTGTTGAAGAAAAAAGATAGGGGATGGTGTATTTGTGTGGATAATCTGGCAGTGAATAAAGAAATAGTGCCTGAAAAATTTTCCACCCGAATGATCGATGAGCTACTAGAGCTATTTGGGGCTGCAATATTTTCCAAGATTGACTTGAAGTCAGTATACCATCATATTCAAATGCGGCCGACGGATGTATACAAAACTATATTTCAAACTCATGAGGCCACTACAAATTTCTGGTTAAATTGAAATGATTACCAAGTTATGACGTCATGTGGGAGCTCTATAATTTGATCCAACAACAGTTTCCTCCCTTTTCCCTTGAGGACAAGGTGACTTTTTGAAAGGGGAGTACTATTAGATCGGTGTCAACGGCGCCATCCACCTTATATTCCATTAAGTCGCCAACATGCCCACCAAAAAAATTAAAGACTTATGTTAGGACGAAGACTAAAAGGGCAATTTAGTCATTCATTGGTTATTATTGTGGAGTATAAATATGGTTTAATATGTTTAGAGTTATGTCATGTGTGATTGTTGTCTTGAATCTCAGAGAACTGAAGAGAGAAATATATTATTGGAGATATGTATACCTCTCAAATTGTAAGTGTTTATCTTTTATATATTCGAGATTGTATCATTTTAACCTGATATCGGCGCATAGATTCAAAAACTTAATGGAATATCTTATTAAACTTGTTAGAACAATTGAACTACATAGAAAATTAATATTTTGACTTTTTGAGGTGTTTTGCAAAATACTTTTTTTGAAGTAGACATTGCCCCTATCATAAATTGCCATATCAGTTCACCCAACGTACAACAAAGCGCCAAAATTCTCACATATGTAAAAATGAGGTAAATTTGATTTGTTAAATAGGTAACAAGTCACAGTTTTTGATATTCTAGCAGTCCTAGCTATTGCCTTCTCAACACTCATAATCACTGATATGCAATTATTATGTGATAATAATCAACATAGACAAAATAATTTCAAGTTCATCAAACTCACAAGATGCTCCTACCAAATTCAATAATCTAATATTAAAAGCCTGTCTCAATTAATATTAAGAAAGCCAAAATATACAGCTCCAATCAAATCCTAATTATTCAAAAAAAAAAATCTCAATTATCACTTTCAGAGAACTGAAGCACGAGAAACAAACTTTCATTGCATCAGCATTCAGTACAATGATGTTGAATGACTATAAAAACTCTAGGGTAAGAAATGACATTATTAACATCAAATCAGTGATATGTTCTCTTAATAAATTAATCAAAGAATGATATCAATCTTATTCCACTTTCTTTCTTTGCCTATTACAAGTATTCATCAAAGAATAAAAGAAGTATTGACTGTAAGAAAGAAATCTCAACTTTCTTCCTGTAAGAAATCTCAGCATTAAGAGGAGCAAAAGAATCCAAGCAGAATATTGAGAAGATGATGAAACTTAATCAAACCATGTTAGTTTTGGAACCCCAATCAATCTGGCTGAGGGACAGCCGAGCTTCCAGCAACGTCCATGGGAGCCCAGGCAGATACAGTATAAAGCTGCTGCTCTTGCCATTTTAGACAAAGAGCTTCTCCATCTGCTTCCTTCCTCTCCACAGAAAAGTTAGAATCTGAGTACATCCTCAATATTACTTGGCTTTGAATCTTCTCCCTATCTCCAATACCCACATTATCAAATCCACAATCCTTCATCTTCCTACTCCATTTGCTGAAACTCTCATGTCTTTCAGTCCCTTCTCGAGCGATAATACTCCTTATCTTTCTGGCAAACATCTTCTCAATCTTCAATCTCTCCGAGCTATCCTCCGGTAGACTAACATTCAAGGCATCAAAGACTGCAGCGTAGTAATTCAAAGAGTTTGCAAACCTCACCTCCAGTTGATGGTGGTTGTGATCAGCTTCTTCCGCGCACACACCCATACACATTGCATTTCACACATAGGTAGGATTGATCCTATGACTCTAGGGGTCTCATAAACTCGGTAAACAAATAGTCATGATAGGCGACGCACTCGCGCACACACCCATACACATTGCATTTCACACATAGGTAGGATTGATCCTATGACTCTAGGGGTCTTATAAACTCAGTAAACAAATAGTCATGATAGGCGGCGCACGCGCGCACACACCCAGACACATACACACAAAGATGAATATATATATATATATATAGTAGTTGAAATATTTGCACGTGATTTTATACTTTATAATATTGTATTATTGCTTGAATAAATAGTTACTAAACATTTTGCATTATTTGATTGTTGTTAGATGAATACTTTGATTCACGGTTGCCGATTGTGACGAAACGAATCGCACAAGGAGGTGTGAGATTGGCCGTCGTTTTGAATCGGGTGCTTGGAGATCAAAAGCTTCATCATATTCCGTCCCCAACCTAAATATATTTTAATTTTCTATTATTTATTTATTTTTATTTACAATGACTAATTATTGTACTATATATATATATATATATATATATATAATTGCTAGATAGTGAACAATGAACAAGGGTTTACAATTATTTTCCACTAAATTTTAGTTTTTCCACAATATCTTGTTAAGTTCCTTTTTCATTCCATTAATGGTTACAAAAGATTTAAATATGCAAAATATGATTTAAAAATTTTATGTGCTACAATTGCACGATTCATGGTTATGGCTATGGACTAGAAAAAGATGGATACTTTAGAATGTAATTATATTATAGTGTTTTTTTGTTTGAAAGGAAATATTGGAGGTTTGGATGAAATTTTAATGTAAGCTTCGTGAATTTTTGACATAAAGTTGTCATATGACAAAACTCAATTTGACACTATCATCGCTGCGTCCCAGGCCGCGAAGCGAAAAATAGAGGGCTACATTAGGTAGTCGACAACTAGTAAATTTTTTGTGAAAAAAATCATGATATGAATCCTTTTAAAATCATTTTTGTAAATGCTAGGGCATCTCCTGGAAGCAATGCATCGTACAACTGAAATACAGTGAAAAATGTGCAAGCGCGTAGTATAAAATAAGCATGGGTTCCTACATAATGGAAGGATGCGGGCAAAAAAACTAGTTCATGAAACTACTATTATGATATGATCTTGAAATATAGGTACTCTTATATGTAAATTAAAGGAATTAGTAGAAATTATGGTTCATATGAGATGAATAGCTTATGCAATACAGAATCTAAATGGGTTGGAGAAAATACTATGGAGATTGATAACTTTGGTATTAAACTTCAGTATCCAGGTCGGAGTTACACAAGAAATTGTGCAAGTGTAAATCTATATTAGGGCTTATAAAGATAATGTTGTAAAAATTAATACAATTGTTGATAGAATTATAGCTCTAAAGATTGTTATTGGTACTAAGATTTTTAATTTTATAAGTGCTTATGCTCCTCAAGTAGATTTAGATATACGTACCAAAAAATATTTTGGAATGACATAGAAGGATTAAAACAATGATACATTTTGAAAAAAAATAAATTTTATTGGAGGAGACTTAAATGGACATATTGGTAGAGTGGTAGAGGATTTTTGAACCATTCACAATGGCTATGATTTTGGAGTGGTTAATGAAGAAGGTAGAATCATATTATATATTTTTTTTACCTTATGATTTTGTTATTACTAAAATTTTATTTAAAAAAGAGATGAGCACATTATTACTTATAAGATTGAATCTAATAAAACATAAATTGATTATTTTCTTATGAGAAAAAGAGATAATCAAGAATGTAAATATTATACGGTCATTCCAATTAAAAAATTAAGTACTTAAAATCCATTATTATTTCTGAATTTTAAGATGAGGAGTTAGAAGATAAAAAAATATAATGAAATATCATCATAGAACTTGATGAGGGCACCTAAAAGACAAGTAAAATTATTCTTATGAGTAAACCTTAAAATTTCAAGATTTGGGATGTTCCCAAAAAAGCTAACTCTATGTGAGATAAAATAATGAACACTATTAAACAAGTAAAAGATGTATTTGAAGAACCAAAAGAAAAAGCTTTTAGAAAAAAAATAATTGGTGGTGGAAAAATATTGTGCAAGAAAAGATACAATATAAGAATTTTTGTTATAAAAGTTGATTTAAATATAAAAACATAGAGAATTGGAAAAAGTATTAAGGTGGCCCGTAGTGAGTCTAAGAGAGCAATTTGTGATGCTAAGTATTCTACAATTAGTGATCTTTCAATTAGATTGGATACTACAATTAGTGATTGTGCTCATAGGAAGGTACAACTTTTTAACACATCATAATAACCATACATAGAAAATTGCAAAACACAAAATAACATACATTATATAGTTTCACTACAATAAATAACCAGCATTATGGTGCAACATGCCAAGCAGTATCGTGTTAGAAGAATAACACTATGATGATGCAAGCATGCACAATACTTAATAGAGAGAAATTTTCTAACATAACACATGCAATCATGCAATTAGGCATAACAAGATAATACATAGGTTGCCTCCCAATAAGTGCTTCATTTTATGTCCTGAGTTTAATTTACATAGAGTTTTTTTCAATGAATAAATTTTCTTCTAAGTAATTTCTGGTCATTTTACTCACATATGTATTCTACTGGAGAATATCATTAATCAATTAGTTATAATACTAATTTATCATCTCTTAGAATATAATGATGCCTAATTTTCTAATTTTTCTTACAATATTTCATTCTCAATTATATAATAAATTTCAAGAGGATATGTAGGGGCTAAATTAGATTAAAAACTCTAAAAATTATTTCTTTATCTTGTGTTCTTATGAAATGTATATTCATCTTACCAATTGCAAGAAATGGCCTTCCTAAAAATATTAAAATTTTAACATTTTCTCCATTTGCAAAATATAACAAAATTAGTAAGGAAGATGTATTTACTGAGCTTAACCAAAACATCATTTATAACCACCTTAAGATAAGACAAAGAAAGTTTTTCTACTTGAATGTTTACAATTGTAAGTTAGACTTCTGCTAGTTCTAATCTCCTAATGATAGATAAGAGTATCAAGTTGATGTTGGCTCTTAGATCATAAAGTTTGTCTAAAGAATTTATCCCTTAAATTGCAAGGCATAGTAAAGCTACTTGAATCAATAAAATTTTTAGAGATGTTTTTTTAGGATAACACCACAACGTTCTAATAAGGCAATGATAACAAATTCACCCAATTTTTATTTTTTTTAATTAAGGATGTCCTTCATTAATTTTACATAACTTGACATTTCTTCAAAAGTTTCTATAAATTATATTTTAACTATTAGCTTTTTGAATATTATTAAGAACCTAGAGAACTATTGGTCAAGTTTATACTTTTACAACCCTTAGAAAAAAGTGGTGGTGGTCTTTTATAACTGTTCAAAGAAGTATTTTCTCATTCTTCAAGTCTGGTATAGAGTTTTCAACTGGTTTGTTAGACTAAGGGATGGGTTCTTCTACCCTAGATTCTTCTCTATCCACCCTATCCTTCCCACTCCTTTATTTTATTGCATAACATTAATTTTTCTCCTTATTTTCTTTGGAATCACTTCAAAGTTGTTAGTAAGGTTTCATTGGATATATTACATAAAAAGTTAGTTAACTACCCTAATTGTGTTTCTAATTTCTTATGACTAAAAATTGAATATGTAATGGATTTTCAAATTTTAATACTAGTTCTTCCAACGATAATTTCTTTTCTTTAAAATGATTATTTGAAGTGAATCAAGAAGTATAATTGGGTCTATTATTGAGGAAGTTACTATTTTGATTATTCTGATTGCCTAATGTGTTGGGAATTATTTGCTTAACTAATTATTATTCCTTAAATTTTGGTTGTTATTCTAATTTTATTTTGGGTAATTTTTTCAGCCATGGTTATAAGCATTAGAACATGGAATAATTTTTCTATTAACTAGGATATTGACTCCATAGTTGAAATTTAAGGATCATATATTGGTCCATAAGTGTTATCCTCATAAGTGCCCCCTAATTTGGATTCAATCTTGGCTATCAAATTTACTCAATATAGTAGCTACCTATAAGACAAAATAAATAGAAAATTAGTGTTAAGAACACTAGATACCTTCTTAAGGAAGACTCTCTCTTAAGGCCATTGAAATTTTTTGGTGGTCATCTCCACTATTAATTTATATGTCTCTCCAAATGATTTAGACATAAGTGACCCCCCAGTTTCAACACCTATAATAGACCTCAAAGATCCCACCAGTACGTTAAGAAAAAAATTAAAAATAAGCCAATCAGGTAGATCGTGGTGTGGATATTTTCTCAAAAGCTCCTTAAACTTTTCCCATGATTCAAAGATATATTCATTGTCTAACTTGATGAAGAAGATGATATCATATATAAGCTTGACATGCTTAGAAGAAGGAAAATATCTAGCTAAAAGTTTTTTGTGCTATGCTATTCAGAGTGGTAATATATCTTTAGAGAAGTGAATTTAATCATATCTCTATCTTATCTCTCATAAAAAATAAAAATAGTCACATCCTAATAATATCTTCAAAGACACCATTATACTTAAATAGTTGTAAGGAAATTAGAAATGCATAAATTTTGGTCTTTTTTACTAAACTCCCAAACTTTAATGGATAATAATTAATTTCAGTTCAAAGTTCTTAACTAGAATGATATGTCTATGAAGCTTTTATGTACACCATATATGAATAGATTGACAAAGTCATTAAGTAGTTTAAATTTGATGTTATGTATATATGGGCTTGTCATGATTCCATGTGATTTTTATTTTCTTAGTTTTATGACACAAGTTCATAATTTGCTATTTTATACATACAACAACCATAATGCCTTAGTAATGCCCCTATACTGGTAAGATTCACACAAACTGATAACATAAGACAATAAAATAACAACAATAAACAAAAAAAGTTCCTTAAAATAATAATAATAATAGATAAGTAATGTTGTGATGCTATCAATAAAGTGTCGAGATGCTTTCAAAATTGCATTGCAATGTTTGATGACTAGTGTTCTAATACAATTAAAATTAACATCACTAGTACAAGTAATTATAGATTTTAATAGAACATAAGATACAAAATAGTTTTATAATAACAAATTGAACAACAACAATTGTCAAACTAATATCCCAATAGAGTAAAAACTAAATTGAGTTAAAAAATAGTTTTTTCAAACACATATCAACTTAATTAAAATTTAACCGTCACTCCCTTGTAACAACAACACCAACGTGGTATGGTTTATGCACAGTTCATGCAAATGCAAGTATCATTCAAGTAATGCAATATTTGAGTCAAATATCATTCCCATTAGGAAAGATGTCAAATTGCCAATTTAAGTTAAATATTATTTCAGCTTCAAATTTGGTTTTATTGAATTAACAAGAAAAATTTTAAAATTTTCTTAGAAAACGAAAAGAATAATTTGAAGTGTTTTTTTAATTAGTAAAATGTTTCT